CTGGCGGTAATCATCTGCACCGGTTACTATTGTGTAAAAATTGGTCATGCAACTAGTTGTTGGTCTGAGTCTCGTAGACGGGTTCTGAACCATTCAGAACTTCTTAGTATCTGCTTAGTGATCGTGATGACAGTCCTGGTGTCTCCTCTTTTCTGGCATACCATGATTTGAGAGAGCTCCTTTTGACCACTATACTAGTTATCCTCCACGAGCATCTGCCATCCGATTGCACAGGTAATGAACCATCACAATGTTTATCAATTTGGATTCGAATTTAGTCTGAGAAGAAATCAAATGGAAATGCAGGGTGGTAACCAATGCTGCCGGGGTCTGAAGGGGGACCAGGTCGCGGTCTTCCGTTCAACATCTGGTTACAGCAACGGTCGTCTTATTGCTAACTGCTGCGGTTGCACAGAACAAGATTCTACAGGAACAGTTATAGCCCAAAGACTACCGCTCTACCTTGTACCGTCTCTACTACTGATAGGATTGTCGGAGCAGACGATTGCAAGGCGTTTATGTGGAGAGTTCACAATCACTGGATCATGGGGGTCGTCACTGTGCCTCAAACGCAAGTTATAGGCACCTTGTCGCTTGGAGATCTAGCGACGGCCACGCTCCAAAACACGTCAACTGCATGCGCGAAGGACCACGATGCACTAGCTATGGGTCAAATTGTGCGCAGGTGCATTACCATGATGGTGGAGCCAGCCACGGAAGCCCTTCAAGAAGTGGCCCAAGTCAAGGCAGAAGAACCACCGTCTAGCAGATTTCCCAATCCTAATTCCCTTCAAGTCCATGATCGAAGACGTCCTTCGTGAGAAATAATTTACGAACGTCATTTTTCCGGACGATTTTTGTCGTTTGCACTTCTTCGTTGATAGCGTCACACCTCTTGATCACCCAGTGCTTTGGGACTTGAAGAGGCGGTAGTTCAAATAAACCCATGCCTCATCGCCAGTAGCGAGTAGGGAGAACGGGTTAAATTTGTGCTCCTTGAAATCCAGGAGGAATACTTGAGCGCGTCTTCGTGGCGCCAACCCTCATTGTCAGACAGGTCACGGTGCACCCATCGAGTGTGTCTCCCGTTGGGACCGAGATTGTCAGCCGGGTCATGTGAGGGGCGAAGCATTCAAGCCCAATATTATCTGGAGGCTGTGCATGCCATTTTTGGGTCCTCTTTCGCTAATACCCCCACACTGATCGCGTTTTACTCAAAAGATGACACAGGTTGACATTTTCTGCGGAAGTTCACTAAATTCGGACTATTCAGCATCAAATTTTCTTAATTTTTGTCTTCAGGAACAGTCTTGTCTCAAGCAATGCCGTTGGCTGTGTGCGCTGCAGGCCAGCTGTTTATTATGTGAGAAGTTGACGCAACCGAAAGACGATCGGACTTTGTCTCGTTCGCACTTTGTGTGAAGGAAACATCTTTCAAAAATGCTGTGGCTGGGACGGCTAAATCGTGAACAGGTCTGTTTTTACACGACATACCCAAAAATCGCTCAAATCTCTTAGCATTTGACATACGACGGAGCATTTCGTGCAATTGATTAGGTCTCCGATGCAGAGGTTTTATTAGCAGCGTGAATCTGCCGAAGTTCATTGCGACCGTAATTCTGCGCATTCACTTTATCGGGTAACACCAACTACACGCTAAAACCTTAGCAAATTCACGTGTGGAATATCCGGAGACCACGGCTGTGCGGTGGATGCATCGGATTCTCAAAATGCCCGTCAATCCGAAACCTGTTCACTTCAAATCAACAGACGGTCAAAGTATGCCAAGCACGCGGGTGTTGTGACACGGATTTTCGTGCAGAATATATGGGGCGACGAATTCAAACTCAATGATAGCTGGAGCCAGCGTAGGTCATTTTCGGGCCCTCCTTACCACTAACCCCACGGCAAGCACGTTTTTCTTCTCAATGACATTCCTCTAAGTATGTAGTTTCCAACACTGAAAACCTCCGAAACTTTTTCACTAATGTCCAGACACTTAGAGACAATCCTGTCGCAGGCAAGACCGATGCAGGCTAGCCATTCGACAGAGGGGAGGTCGACGCGTCCCGAAGGCCGTCAAACGTTTCTTTCCTTTTCCTTAAATCGCCTCTGGCAAGGTCGGCCACGCCACAAACAGGTCGGTTTTTACGTAAATCACCCAAAGCCACACAAATTTCCCAGCATTAGGTCTGCAACGCCGCATACTGTGCCGTCAGAAGGATAGGCCATGAGAAGAAATGTGGCATGCGTCTAGTTAGTGTCTCTGCCATAACATCTTTCTGGCCAGAAACTTCCTTCAGTCACTGTGCTGGACGCGGACCTAGTTAGGACTCCAATAGCATGTTTTTTTATGTACGTTGGCGAAATTGCAGCTCTTTAGAAGCGCATCTACGTGTGTGTGCTCGGCTGCAACAGGCCTGTTCCCATACACTTTGTCATGTTGTGTTCACCGCGTATCACAAACAAAGTGTATTCTGACGTGTGATTATTGCCGAGCCCTCGATAATGCGCAGAAGGAATCAGATCGTATGGACGCGTCAAATGAAAATCAGCTTTTTTCAAACCAACAGACGGATGTTGAAAGTAATGCTGCGATGCAAAACGAAATCCTGTCAACTCGAACCAGGTCCATTTTAGGGTATTATGAGACCGAGCATGGAGCAACCAATGCAGTATCGCCTTCGATGCTACAGGGCTACCCAACCTGATGGCGTCCAGTGAGCTTTGGTTCTTTGCAGGGCCTTAAAATCAAAGTTCGACGCCTGCAGGGGTAGAACTGCTCTGGCGCCCAGTTTGCATGTTCTGTTGTAATACCAGCCTCCTCTAAAAATGATAGCTTTCTCAACGAAGCTGAAAGTGGATTTTGACTGGCCCTCCGTCGCTTTCTTCCTTCAGTACGACAGCGCATACTAGATGGCGTGACAGAGCTCCCAGTCCTGCGGAAAGTCGATGTGCCGACCGACTAACTCAACATCCAATGACCAGAACACCATGCTGTGTGCAGCTATGTTCACATTACAAACTAGTTTAACAATAGCCTCTCTTGTAAGATGTCAACTGCACACGTCACTTTGCACGTCACCAAAGGAAACATTCCGAAGATGACATTGAACATCAAATCTACTTGGCGTGTTTGTCCCGCGTTTGACACTCTCTACAAACAATCAGCAATTTGCTGCGTGAATATTCAACAAGTGCCAGTGATGAACACCATAATTACTTACCCGTCCTAGTTGGTTCACTCTCACATGCGGTTGAAGTCAGCCACCCGCTTCAGAGCTAATTAGCATCCCAGAGGCGCCAAATCACACAAAAAGGCCATAATAATTGGAAAAACGAGAAGCATTAAATACGTGTCGTAAAGTTCTGTTGACGGAACGCGACACATTACGGGCACGAAAAAACGCACAACTGGGTGCCACTGCAGTGGTTTTCGGCAAGTTTCGAGCAAACTTCCTTGGACAGTTTACTGTGCCCGTCGGACAAGTAGAACGTACAGCTAGTTCCGAGTAGTCGCTGGCCTAAGGCGACAAGAATTCAGCACTTTGAGAAACAGAATGGCAGAAAATTCTCAGTCCACCAAACCGACGTCAACTTCGAAATGAAGTATGAATCCGACCCTATCAGTGCTGGTGTACATGTGGGGGGGAGATGTGGCCCAACTTTACTGCAACACTGTTGTTGCCGATTGACAAGCATAGACACTAATCTTTTAAAATCCGTCGAAAATTTCCTAATACGGAGAGTGCGGAACAACTGAGCCCAGTGAGGATATGGAAACCAAAATCTCCTCCCACCAGCACAATTTCCACGTTGAATCCTCGATTGTCATCCGACAAGGCGTTAAGCTCCTTCGCGGTATCCAATCCGGTAATTTTCTCTGAGGTATTCTTCTCCAGGACAATGTATCCGCGTGAAACTCGGCGAACTAGAATGGACATCTCTTATTGCCTGTCATCTTTTGCACGAAATTTCTACTCGAAGCTAAGTCTTGAAGAGGGAGACACGATCGCCGGGACAAGAGCTTTATTAGCCTGACGTTTCGGATTCGTACTCGAATCCATCATCAGAGACAAAAGATGAAGATGATGCTGCTGCTGCTGCTGCTGCTGCTGCTGATGATGATGATGATGATGATGATGATGATGATGATGATGATGATGATGATGATGATGATGATGATGATGATGATGATGATGATGATGATGATGATGATGATGATGATGATGATGATGATGATGATGATGGATTCGAGTAGGAATCCGAAACGTCAGGCTAATAAAGCTCTAGTCCCGGCGATCGTGTCTCCCTCTTCAAGACAACACTCTGGGACTCGGCTCTTCGTTTCTATTGGCAACGTATTTGGGCGCGATGCGCTCCGATCGGCCCGGCGATGGGAAACCTTCGCCCTTCGGGAGGCCTCTACGTATTCGCAGATCCGGTTTCTGCACAGGTATCTCGACAATAATGTGTTACCGAAATGTGTTTCATACAAGCCACCGGTTAACACGGATTTGGCGAGACGAGCAGTATTTCAGCACGGCAGAAGGATGATCCGAGTGCTCCTCCAAAATTGCCACGCTAGGCTTCGTAAGTACCGTCAAAGGATTGACCAAGAAAAGACCAGATGCTGTGAGTTCATGGGTGAAATCGGTACGAATCTGCTCCTGCGGAGGATAGCTGAACAAGCCCGGGAACAGAGCAGGATACGCGACGCAGCACTGGAAAACAAATTTCGAAAGCTGCCAAATCCAACGTCGCCCAGAAACGACAAACGGGTGCACAACCTGTCATCAAAGGAGCTGACGAAGGATCAGATGCAGGTTTTACGGCACGAAGCTTCATTTAACACGGCTGACGCCAAACCCGTTAACATGATTGCAGCAGTGGAATCAATCCTTTGTCAGACGAAGGCAACGGAGGAGACTAAGAACCTCATCCGACACCAAGTTTCGTCTCTCCTGATGGCCCACAGGCCGCGGGAAGTGCTTTCCAAGGTCGAACGTGATGCGCTTAGAGAACTCAAGGCCGACAAAGACCTGGTCATCGTGCCAGCGGACAAAGGACGCGCCACAGTTGTACTGGACAGGACAGACTACCTTCAAAAAGCCAAAGGTTTACTGGAGGACCGACAGTTCTATGTCCCATGTGGCTGATTGGGTGGTTACTGTTGAAGTTCAGTACTTGCATCGTATTTGTCGCTTTCCTGAAACGTCAGGCTAATAAAGCTCTTGTCCCGGCGATCGTATCTCCCTCTTCAAGACTACTTCCTGGGACTCGGCTCTTCGCTTCTATTGGCATCGAAGCTAAGTGAAATTTAAATGTCCACCTTCGGCCTCTAATTAGGATAGATGGGTGAATTACGTTCTCATATCACTTTGAACTGTCATCACTGAACAACGTCCCACGTGCGCGGTAGTCATAAATGTAAAATGAACGCACTAGAAAGGCTGCGTCTACTAGAATTATTGGTGCTGCATTTTACGCGGTGTTTTTGTTGACTTCAACTGTTATCCGTAGGGTTCTGTGGATGCTGTGGTAAAAAAAAGACACCAGGGTGGGGTATGGGCCAGACGGCAAACAAAATTTGGTTAGCCCAAAGATTCCTCAACATCCGTGCTCCGTCAGGGTCGGTGTGGTTATGCAGCCCCAATTGAAGTAAACAAGCCCTAGCCACCTGTAATACGGGACCAGTGGTAATGGGGGTTTTTACAGGTGGGGCCGGGAAACGCACAGGCGACGAGGTCAAGCAGTTGTATGCAAAAGAAAAGTTATTGCGAACGCGCGGTTGTACTTGGAGCGGTGGAGAAATAGTTGCACTAACACCCAAGCCTAACCCCTAAATCGAACCGCTAACCCCAACTGCATTATGTCCATCAGGTGGGGCCTCATAACCACATCTTCCCCCCTGCAAATCCACTATCGACGACCTTCTATGTAAGAAAAAATTTACGACAATTGTTTTTCCGGACGATTTTTGTCATTTGCACTCCTTTGCTAAGATCGCCCCACCTCTTGATCACCCTAGGACTTGAAGAGGTGGTAGTTCAAATAAACCCATGTTTCATCTCCAGTAAAGAGTCCGGAGAACGGGTCGGATTTGTCCTCGTTGAAATCCAGGAGGAGCACTTGAACGACGTCTTCGTGGGGCCAGTCCTCATTGTCAGACAGATTACACCCATCGAGTACGCCTACCGTTGGGACCGAGATTGTCAACCGGGTCATGTGTGGAGCAAAGCACTCAGGCCCAGTATTGTCTGGAGCCGGTGCATGCTATTTTTCGGTCCTCTTTCGCCACTACCTCCAGGCTGATCACTTCTTACTCAAAACCACGCCCCATGCACAGAAGGCTGCGACTGTCTCTGTCGCCTACCTAAACGTGCAATCACCATATGCGCCTTGAGAAGGTGAATACTAGTGGTATGTGAGACTCTGGTCAGCCTTCTAAACCAACAGCGGAAATGGAATCCACACGGTGTCAAAAACCGAAGTGTCCTAAACGTACTTATTGAACTGCCACAGTTGACGTATGAATGCTTCCCTGCTGCCGCTATATCCGCCGTCTCTCCGAGGCCTCGGAAAGTGGCACATTTTTGAGAGCTCCAATGTCCACTTTAGGAGTCAGGAATTATACGTTATTTGCAATGGGAGAGGCGATACATTTGTCTAAACCTATGACCATCTAGAGATTTCACCAGACTTAATTATAAAACAAAGAACAGCGGACACTGAGTCTCACTTAGCATGATCAGCTTTCCAGAGTGATGGCCCGAGCATCCAATGTGATGGTGCACTGCAAGTGCCTTATGCGGCGGGCGGCAATTACGAGTTGACAAAAAGACAGAGCCAGTCCCTTACTTTCTGCCATACAGTACGGTCGTGCCTGTTAATTCTGGCGCCTCGGATGTGATTTGGGAAAATCACCATTGTTGCCATTTACACGCGGAAACTCCCACGCGCTTCATAGTGACAGCCGATTTGATAGCAGACCAGCGTCGACAAATGGGCTACTGTTTGGAGGGTGAGACCGCGAATATAACCACATCACCCTTCCTATATAATGTAGATGGTCACTGACCGAGAGATATTGGCGCAAGGGTGAAAGCCCGGCCCATGTGAGGCATGGGGACGAAAACTAACAAGGGCGTTGAAATTGGGCCAAAAGGTCAAGCGCACAGTGGAAATCTCCAAGGGAACAATGGAGGATATTGTGAGTTGCTCTAGCGAAATGAACAAGAAAGGTGATTGGAAGAAAAGCTAGCGGGAAGGATTTGGGATTCGGACTACGCGAGCTAGCAAGTATATCGCGATAGCTAAATGACTAAAAAAAGTATGACCCACAGGTGAGGCTTCACCGTTCGAACACTACGGTGACTTCCTACTGCTCATCAGCTGACGACGCGTTTTCCTCCAAGCACTCCTCATTGATCGGTGTTTTGGGGAAATATGATTAATTGAACTGACCCCTTGAGGAAAACTTGGTGACGCCCGCGTAATTCGAAACCACAACAGGGGGACATGGATCAAGCAAGACTGCAGCTCTTTTCATGCGAGCTACAGGGTATGGACACTACTGCATTCCCCAGAACAAAGCACCCAGTGCACTCGGAATGGCTATCCAGAATCTGCAATGAGCCGGTGCATTCACGTTCGCGCCCAGAAAAATCTCACGAGACTTTCCAACTACCCCCCCCCCTGTCGGGAGTGTCTAGAAGGGGTGTGCACGGAGCTATTCGACACTCGATGTCGGCAGTGCGCACCAGCTCATGCATAAATGCGTCATGATAACGAAGTACCAGTTATACCAGGATAAACAGCCTGGTGTCGTCAGTCTTATGCCCACTTTCGCTCGAAAGTATTGCCGAGTCGCCGCAGGTTGGACATGACTAATAGCAGCAACTGAGGCGAAATTTGCCCATCCCGTTCTCCTCCCTTTGTTTCCTTTAATAATCCCTCATAACTATATGACTACCGGAGCAGGGTCCTAACTGGTGAGCGAAGACGGAAGGCCTGTGATCCGTCCTTAAATTAGGATCTACCCCTGAAAGCGATTCATACGTCGTCCCCCCATTGTAGACCCAGATCTGTGCGACGCGGCCACTACTAGCCTTAGTTCTTTTCAACAATCAATCAGCATACCAACGCGGGAACTGGCCAATACCAGGAATGGGGGAAGTGATTTTTTCATTTGTTCATTTGAAAGCAAACATTCATGAAAAGATATATATAAGTACAGGGCAGACGTCATAAAGGCCAGACTATAGGTGAACCAGGGCTAGAATTTATAAGGAAAGTAAATATTGCTAAAGTCATTCAGTTAGAGCACAACTGCCAGCAGGCTCAACGCACCAATTGCCATTTTGAATAACAATAAGCAGTTTGAACAGTTCCTGAGCCAAATCCCAGGCGGACGCGGGCCGACAAAGAAAGCCAGACAGACCGCTTTCAGAATTAACGTTCAATACCGTCCTCAGCCAGTCTACCGATGATGCAACTAATTTTGCATCGATTCTTTCCAGCGGCAGAGACGCAAATAGCTGAGTAACCGTGCTCATTCGCGTAGCAAGACCGTCCTCGACGACGCTGGCGTACTTAGTACGGGTTCGCAGCTTGACGGAGTCTTCGCAAGAGCACCCATCACTGGCTGGAGTTGGCCCCTGTCCCGGCGCTTCCGCGGACAGTCGACCTCCACAGTGGGGGCAGCGGAGGGTGACAAGACTTTTGGGCGTCTGCATGAGGGCCGAGGCAGTGGGCCAGTCCTCGGTGCAGGCCACACAGGCACAGGAGAAACAGTACTGCGAAAGCAGGTCGGCCTGCCTCTCGGCACGCGCCTGCAGGGCGTAGTGTGCAGAGTAACAGTCCAGGAGTTCAGTGCCGGCAGGCAGTGCACGCAGAGCCAGTAAAAGGCAGCTGCCGGAGCCTGTGCTCACACGAAGGACATTCGGATCGCAGGAGTGATTGACCAGGGACAGAGTGGGATACAGACAGGAGGCTAGGGGACGGATAGAGGAGGCGGTCAGACTGACGCCCCCCTGCTCAGACTTTGGGAGTAGCGTCTCGGCGTAGGTGTGGGCGTTGCAAGGAACTGCCTGAAGGTGGTAGAGGATGCAAGCCGCGACCCAGGTGGCAGGAGGTAGTTCGACCTTAGACGTGGGCGATGGCGCAACAAAGAGATTCCTAGACGTCCAATCCATTGGATACCCACCGACCTGAGGGTAACAAAAGAAGAGGATTACAAGTTTTCCAGGACTTTAATAA